TATTTTAAACATGAAATCCCATAACATTTTTTTATAGCTAGTTTTTTTTAACAACATACTACTTTTAATTTTTAATATAAGAGTTATTTTGAAATTTAATTTGATTCTAAATATAAAACCCTAACCTATTTTGTTTTTCATATTTATCTATTTTATTTTAAAATAGTTCTTGTAATAGTTACACATGTTAAATATTTCATCAAATGGTACTTCTATAAAGCCTGTTTGGATACTATCCCAAACCATGGTTTGGAGCCATAGTTTGGGTGAAAAAGTTGCCAAACAAGAGGCAAAACTAACAAACCATGGTTTTGGACTCAAAACAATAATTTTAGAAAAAGTAAATTTATTCTGCTTCTGGCTCAAATTGGAGAGTATGATTATGCCTATCAGAGTAGATCTCAGCCATAATATGACTTTAACACCCTTCAATCATTTTTTTATAAACATATTTAATCTTATATTTTATAAATATATATACACATATTAATTAATTATTAATTACATTATCTTATATGTTATTAATTATGTTGGTAAAAAATATATTATTAAAAATTTTATTCTTTCAAATTAAAATATATTATAAAATCCATCTTTTATATAATTATCATATTAATTTATGTCTTTTTTTAGTAACTAGCACATATAAAAGGTGCTTCTGATAACAGCTATCCAAACACTCTCATTTTATTAGAATCACTTTTTCACAAAACCTATTCTTCACAAAATCTATTTTCCCAATAATCTATTCTCCAGAAGCTATTCTCCAAACCATGGTTTTTATCCAAACACCTCCTATTAGAAAGAGTATTTTAGAAAAAATAATATCTATTTATTACAAATAACTAACTTAACTAATTTTCTTAATCTACTCAAATTAGTTAACTAACTCTTATATTAAAGACTAGAGGTAGTATTACAATGTAAAAAAAAAGGACCACATTTTCCAAAAGCAACTTGTTTTTGCTTTTCATAAAACCATGGTTTGGGTGGGTCAAACCATGGTTTTGGAGCCAAACCATGATTTCATAAAAATGTGGGGTGTTTGGCAATCTAAATTCTAAAACCATGGTTTGAGCTCTAAAAGTGACTTTGGCAAGGCGTCCGCATTCAGTGCTCATCACCTGATGAGCAATCTGGGCCGTCCAGATTTAATATTTTTAAGTAATTATTTAAAAATAGAAAAAATTATATTTTTAAAGAATGATAGTTAAGAGATTATCTTTATTTTTATCCTATACCTATTAAAATAATTATTTTAAAAAAATAAAAATAAAAATTAAATTAAATTTGGACCGTCCAGATCTGATGAGTATTGGGTGCTCATCAAAACTGATGAGCATCCAATGCAAATCCCTTTGACAAGGCTGCCAAACACTCCCTAATATTATACATATGTCAACATGTTGGGTCTGTTTGGAGCTAGGTAATCATATGAGGCCTGTTATTCCGAATAAAATTGGTCTGTATTATGGGCCCATAGGTCTTTTTCTAAGCCCAGAAAATAGCAACAGATTGGTCATAATCAGGATATCTCACCTTTGCAAAAACACATGATGTGACTAGCAGGATTGGGTTAGCAGAAAGGGTTTCTTCCTCATAACATGACGAATCAAGGTGCAAATTGCTGTTGCGAAAGGTGTCCACATTTAGCTTCCTATAGTGTCTCGAATTGAATTGCCTTTAATCTAGTTGGAGGATACATATGCCTAGGGAAAAAAAAAAAAGCACATGATGTGGACCAATGAGGTTGAGTCTAGAGAAAGGAGCTTGTCCCTCACAACACAAAAAACTAAGGTTTGAATTTTCACTAAGAAAAGTGTTCATATTTAATACCCAACAGTATCTCAAATAATATTACTTCTTTTTTTTATATATAAGAAAGAGGGCCTAGCCCATCAACTCAGAGAATACAAAGGTGGGGATAGAGATCCCAAACTATCTTCATGAATAAGGGTCCACAGTGCATCTGGGACCGTATCTAAGAAAGTAAACCCATGCATGCTGTTAAGGCCTCTTTTTGCAATCTGATCATCAACTCTATTTGCCTCTCTCGGTACATATTGCACCTGCAATTTCCAATTCTTCCCTCTCATGTCCCTTGCCAAATTCCAGATTGAGGAGGCACTTGACAGATTATAACTAGGCTTGTTAACTCTATCAGCTAGCTCTTTCGAATTAGATTCCAAGATGATCTGGCGGAAGCCTAAATCCCATGCTGTCTTCATGCCCATTAGAATAGCCCATTCCTCAACTTCAATAGCAGAACAGATGCCCAAATTTTTTGAGAAACTTGCAATCCAGTCACTGTTGCTATTCCTCAAGACCCCTCCACAGGCAGCTTTGTTAGAAGGCACATGAACCAATCTGTCAACATTACATTTTATCCACCCCTCGTTAGGTTTTCTCCATTTGACAATTATGGGCTCAGTCGTAATAGTGCTATCAGAGTTAAAGTCATGAAAGATGTAGTTCCTATAGGAATTGAGAATCACGTTGTCCAGGTTCTCAGGTTTAAGGAAACCTATTTGAAAGATGTGTAAATTGCGCCAGTTCCACAATTTCCACGTGGTCACTTCCCATAGTTGCGACCAAGGGACTTCACTATTAAATCCAATGCTCTCCTTTAAATTGAAGTTAACCCAATCTGAGAGGCTTTTGGAAAAGAAATGAAGTTGCCATTTAGGGTGCACCAATTTTTCCCAAAGTCCTCTGGTATATCTACAGTCTCTCATAATATGTAGAATATCTTCCATTTGATTAGCACACCATAAGCATAAGGGGTTTGTTGAGTTCCATTTGCAACGTCTCTCATTAGTAGGGAGCCTGTCTTGTGCCATAAGCCATAAGAAAACTCTAACTCTTTCTACTCCTTTCCATTTCCATATGGCATTGAAGTTTATCTGGGATGAGGATGAACCCATAGTTTCAAACATCCAGTAGGCATCTTTTAATTTAAATCAACCAGTGTTGTTTCCTCTCCATGCTATTAAATCACTTCCAAGCGTCTAATGTGGAGGGCATTTGGCAACAATAATATTAATAGCTGTAGGAGTAAGAAATGTGCTCAACTGATTATAATCCCATTGTCCATTTGAGCTCCACTTAGCAACAACTGACGTGAGTTCATTCGTTGCCAAGGTTCTCGTGCAAGCATCTTTCAAATAATACTTTGGCTTCAGCCAAGCATCAATAAAGAAGTTAACCGTTTGCCCATTACGCACTTGCCAGCAGATCCCATCCTCAATAATTTCTTATTGTTGGCATAGAAATTTCTAGAGTATTGAATCACTAGCTCTGGGGATCCATTTCGCCTCCTCTCTTATCTGAATATACTTCTATTGGAGAACTTCGGTCCAAAGCTTGTTATTTTCATGCTTCAATTGCCAAGCTAATTTGGCTCCACAGGCTTTATTCATTGACGCTAGCTTTTGGAACCCTAATCCTCCCACATTCTTTGGTTGGCAAAGCTTGTCCTAACCAATAAGATGCCATTTTCTTTCCTGTAGATCACTCCATATGAAACGTCTTTGGAGTCTCTCAACCTCATCACAGATGGCCACTAGTAACTTGGCTACTTGCATTGTGTACAGAGAGATAGTACTTAGAACTGATCTAGCTAGAGTGATGCGGCCTGCTAGAGATAGGCAATTAGTCTTCTATTTCGCCAGTTTCTATTGGACCTTCTCCACTATGTACTTAAATTTCTCCTTTTTCCTCCTTGTTCTTGCAATCGATACCCCAAGATAAGTACCAATATCAGCGGCATTCTTCATCCCCGTAATATTCCTCATTTCAATTATTTGGGATGGTTTGACATTATGAGAAAAGAAAATGGATGACTTTCCTAGATTTATTTTGTCCCCTAAGGTAGCACAAAAGGATTCTAGACAGTCAAGCATGCAATGAGCTTGCTAGTTCGTAGCCTCTCCAAATAGTAACAGATCATCTGCAAACATCAAGTGTGAAATATAAGGGCCCTTTTTAGTAACCCCTATAGGCTACCAACTCCCATCTTGCACCATATCAAAAATTAAATGGGATAATCAGTCCATACAAAGCACAAAAATATAGGGTGATATCGGGTCACCCTGTCTCAGTCCTTTCTGAGTATAAAAGAATTTCGTTTGAGTACCATTCCAGATTACATTGACAGAGACAGTAGTGATACATTCCATTAGCAGATCACAAAAACACTCTTCAAATCCAGCAAGAATTAAGGTTTCATGAATGAATTTCCAAGATAAGCAATCATAAGCCTTTTTGAGGTCAATGTTCATAGCCACCCGTCCTCTACGCCCCCTAGCCTTATCCACTTGATGAATTATTTCTTGGCCAATAATAATATTATCCTGGATATGACGTCTAGGAATGAAACTCGCTTGGAAAGGGGAAATGACACTGTCTAACATGCTTTTGAGCCTACAAGTCAAAATTTTTGTTATACATTTGTAGTGCACCGTACACAGAGAAATTGATCTAAAATGAGAAATAGTCTCAGGTCTATCACATTTGGGGATCAAAGCAATGAGAGTCTGGTTAGCTTCAGCGATAGAACTTGACCCTTCAAAGAAATTTTTAACAAAGCTACACACTCCCTTTCCTACAGTTTTCCAATTAGATTGAAAGAAAATAGGAGGAAACCCATCCACTCCAGGGGCTTTATAAGGGCCCATCATAAAAATAGCCTTTTTAATTTCTTCATCACTAGGAACAAAGGCCAGATTAGAATAATTAAAATCATCCAAGTAGGGAAAGATAATAGATGTATTAAGGAATGATAGAACCTGGTTATCCTCTGAAAAAAGCTCTTTGAAAAAGCCAATCACCAAAGATTTGAGCTCATTCTCATTCAAAATCCAAACATTGTTAGCATCTTTCAAAGTTGCAATCTGATTCCGCCTTCTTCTGAAAGTAGTCTTCAAGTGATAAAAGCACGTATTTCGGTCACCCTTGTTCACCCACTCCCCATGAGATTTCTGGAACCATTTTAGCTCCTCCTATCGCAGCACCTCTTCTAATTCATTCTGCAGAATTATCTCAAGCTCTTGCAGGAAATAAGAGTTCGCATAAGCTAGAGATTTTTGAATTCCTTGGAGACGAGCCATAATTTGCTTCTTCTTCTTTTCCACCATTCCAAAAACTTCTCTATTCCAAATCTTCACAGTCTGTGAAAACTTATAAAGGTTTTCTTCCAAGTCCTCTTCGTTACTCCATTCTTTCCCTAGAAAGGACTCGAATTCTTTGTGCATTAGCCACAACGCCTCAAACCGGAAAGGACGAGGAGCATGCTGCTGGTTCTGGCTTTTATGAAGAGACACCAAAAGAGGATTGTGATATGAAAACTTGGTTCTTGGCAAGACCTGTACCCCTGCTTGTGCGAATTCCAGGAGAAAAGGAGAGTTTTTGAGTCCTCTGTCCAAACACTCGAAGAAGCGTCTATATCCATTGATAATTGGGCCTTTCCAAGTAAACCATGGGCCCACTGCTCCAAGGTCCGTTAAATTACAGTTATCCATCTGATTTTTGAACCAATTCGTTCTGGCCTGAGTGGCCCTAACACCATCAATTCTTTCATCACCGGTGAGAATGTCATTAAAATCCCCATAAACCATCCAAGCATCTGAAATATTAAAGGACATCAACTTTAATTTATGCTAGAGAATGTGCTGAAAATTCGAGTGAGGAATTGCATAAACTATAATGAGTAGGATTTTCTTCTGGTCTTCCTCCCACTCAAAATGAAAAAATTGCCTATCTTGTTTGATGATTTTTATTCTGCTACAGTCCTCCTTCCACATTGCAACTAAGCGACCTAATCTTCCCTCACTGGGAATAATAACTATTTTATTAAAGCCCAACCCTTTGAGCTTTGCAAGTTTCCTCAGATCATCACATCGGGTTTCAGCCATGACAATAAGATCGGGCTTGTATCGATTAACTAAGACTTTCATATTAGGTAGAAGGTCCTTACCACAAGCACCTCTACAATTCCAGTATATAAATTTATCCATTAAAAAATGGGAAAAAAAAAGAAAAAAAATGTTGGGGTAACCCCAGGCTTATTCTAATTGGGTCTCAGGGACAAAGGAGCCCATACTCTCAACAGTCCCAGAAGCAACAACCTCCATTGGGCTTTCCAGTCTGTTCTCCCCATTCGGTGTGGCCTCTAGAAGCATCTCGACACAGTCTTCCAATAACACATCCCCTGGATCCATTTCTTCAACAGGGACCTCCTTGATGGGCTATGAATAGTGGGCAATTGACCCAGCTTCATCTATCCCTCCGGGAGGGAGAGTTGGGCCTGTAAGAAGAAGCAGCCCATTTTCGTTGGTGTTCTCATATGGCCTCTAAGTAGTCACAACCCCCTGGTTCTCCAGTGTTATCCCTTCTCCCTCCTCACGTGCTCTCTTGTTTGCTTGTTTTGTCTCCTTTTAGGCTTCTACTTTTTTCAATCCCAACCCCCTTTCTCCACTATTGCTCTCCCTTTGCGCACTAACTTATCCCTTCCCCGTACCACTCTTCCTTCCCTTCCTCTGCTTTAACATACTCTGCAGTCCCAAGTCGTGGTGATCCTAAGATTGTCGTTCTGTAGCACTATCATTCTCCCTCCTGCTATCAGGCTCCCTATTCTCCTCCTCCACGTCAACAAGGATTCCAAATCTTGAACCCGGTTTGACAGTTTGACCCTGTTCATGCTGCTTGTCCCTTTGTCTTCGTTGCCAGCATGGTTTTTGAACTACCGACCAAGAATCCACACCTTGGCCATTAACCATCATCTCATCATCATTAGCTTGTCTCTTCTCAGTTCCTTGAGCATTCATTGCTTCCCCTTGTCTTTGGGTGTTGCAATTCAGCTTACATTCCTCAGCCGTGTGCCCATAAACCCCACACCTTGTACAGAGAAGATGAAGCCCCTTGTATTGCGGGTAGTAATCTTCCCCATCAAGATGAAAACCAGACATCAGTTGCTTATTGAGATCAACCAGGACGCATGAACGAGCATAATGTCCTCTGATGTGAGATGCTGTGTTGAAATCTATTTTTAAAGTCTTGCTGATCCTATCCCCCATAAAAGACAACGCCTCAGCATGGTAATACTGATAAATATAAAATAATAAAGTAGAGAGAAAAATAGGAGAATGAACTGATAATTTGCATTAACTGAATGGGCCTTTTAAATAGGCAAATTACATGATAAATAAATAATAAAAATAATAACCCCACCTCCTAAAAATTAGCCACGACTCACAAAATGGGATAATGGAATCTGATCCTAAATGCATGGAATGTGGGTAGCAAAAATCACGCAACAAATAATCCATAACGGGAAAATGGGATAGTGGGAATAATGCGCAATCAGGTGAATAATTCAAAGAAATTAAAATAAATTAATTTCCAACAATCCCTCCCTTAAACTAATGTTTGCAAACATTTAGTTTAAGAGTACCAGGATTTAAGCTAAGCCCTCCCATGAACAAAATCTTCCATAGAACACACTCCAAGCATCTTTCTAAGCTTCATGAACAGATCTTGCTTGAGTGGTTTAGTAAAAATGTCAGCCACTTGATCTTCACTTTTGCAGAATACCAAATCAATAGTATCATTATTGCAAAGGTCACGTAGAAAATGATATCTCACGTCAATATGCTTGCTTCTTCCATGCAATGTTGGATTTTTGGAAATTTTAATTGCTGAAACATTGTCGCAATAAATAGTCGTTGGACCCTTTTCTTGATTCTGAATTGTTTCAATCAATCTTCTTAGCCATATAGCTTGACACGAGCAAGCTGCTGCAGCAACAAATTCAGCTTCTGTAGTCGACAAAGTAACAATTGGTTGTTTCTTTGAAGACCAAGAAATAGCTCCATCACTCATCATAAAAACAAAGCCTGATGTACTTTTTCTGTCATCCAGGTCTCCAGCATAATCACTGTCAGAAAAGCCATGAAATTTTTCTTTTGGGTTAGCCTTATAAAAAATACCAAAATCAATGGTACCTTTCAGATAACGAAAAATCCTTTTTGCAGCTAACAGATGATTCTCAGTTGGATTTTCCATATAACGACTTATAAGACTAACACCATGCATGATGTCAGGCCTTGTAGAAGTGAGATACATTAAACTTCCAACCATTTGCTTGAAGAAAGTAGCATTAACTTTCTTTCCTTCATCATCTTTCACCAACTTTAAGCCACATTCTATTGGAGTACGAACAAGATTGCAATCCCTCATTCTGAACCTGTCCAAAATCTCAAGAACATACTTCTTTTGTGAAATAAAAATCCCACTTGATGATTGCATAACTTCAATGCCAAGAAAATAACGCATTAAGCCCAAATCAGACATCTCAAATTCTTTCATCATGTTCTCCTTAAAGGCGTCAATCATGTCTATATCATTTCCAGTATAAATTAAATCATCAACGTAAAGAGACACAATAAGAATTTTTCCATCTTTTCCAAATTTTGTAAAGAGAGTATGTTCATGAGAGCATTTTTGAAAACCTTCTTTAGAAAAATAGGCATTTATACGACTATACCAAGCTCGTGGTGCTTGTTTTAGGCCATACAAAGCCTTTTTCAGTTTATATACCTTTTCTTCACTCCCTTTCTTCACATATCCAAGTGGCTGATCAATATAGACTTCTTCCTGCAACTCACCATGTAAAAATGCAGATTTCACATCTAATTGATAAACTTGCCAAGAATTTTGGGCAGCCATGGCTAACACTAAACGAACAGTGTCAAGCCTAGCAACTGGAGCAAAAACTTCTTTATAGTCAATCCCAAATTCTTGCCTGTAGCCTTTTACAACAAGGCGTGCTTTGTATTTGTCAACTCCACCATCTTTGTTCAGCTTTGTTTTGTAAACCCATTTGACTCCAATGGATTTCTGCCCCTTCGGGAGCTCCACCAATTCCCATGTATTATTTTTCTCTATAGATTTGATCTCCTCATCCATGGCAATTTGCCATTTTTTATCTTTATCAGCTTCTTCGAATGTGAGGGGATCACAATCTGCAAACAAAGCAAGGTGAGCTACTGAATCATCATCAGATAAGTCATCTCCACTTACATAATCCACCATCCAAGATGGTCTCTTTCGAGCTCGACTAGCACGAGATTCTTCCACTATTATAGTGGTTGGTGCTTCTGCACCATTTGGAGAATGTTCAAGAGTAGCAACAGTGGTATTTTCTAGGTGTGGCACTTGCTCCTTTTCATCTTCAATTTCATCATCACAATTAATTTGAGAAGGCTGCTGCCCATTCCAATTCCAAGTACTATCTTCATCAAAAATAACATCCCTGCTAATCACAATCTTATTGGTTAGGGGATTAAATAATTTATAAGCTTTAGATTGTTCACTTACACCCAGAAAAACACATTTTTCACTTTTATCATCAAGCTTCTTTCTTTTCTCATCTGGAACATGAGCATAGGCAATGCAACCAAAAATTCTGAAGTGGTCAACAGCTGGCTTTCGTCTACTCCAAGCCTCTTGTGGAGTCATGTTTTGAACAGAAAAAGTAGGACATCTATTCAATACATGAATGCTCCAATTTACTGCTTCTGGCAGAAATTCTTTGGAACTTTTCCCTTTGCTAGCAAGCTTCTCACCATGTTGAGGATGGTTCTATTCTTCCTCTCTGATACACCATTTTGTTGTGGTGTATAAGCAGCTGTAAGCTCTCTTCGAATACCAAATTGCTCACAAAAATTTGCAAATTCTTTTGAGCAATATTCTCCACCGCGATCTGTACGGAGAGTTTTAATCATCTTTCCTGCTTCCTTTTCAATTTGAGCTTTAAAGCTTTTAAATATATTAAAAGCTTCATTTTTCTCCTGCAAAAAATAAACCCAAGTTTTTCTAGTAAAATCATCAATAAATGTGATAAAATATTTTTTACCACCATTAGAAGTTGGTGTTATTGGCCCACAGATGTCAGAATGAATTAGCTCCAAGACTTCTTTTGCTCTCCATGACTTTCCTTGAGGAAACTGAGAACGTGGTTGTTTGCCAACAACACACTCTTCACAAACTTGGGAAGGAGCAGAAATTTGAGGAAGACCAGTGACCATATTTTTCTGATGAAGAGTTTTCAATCCACCAAAGTTCAAGTGGCCATAACGGTAATGCCAAAGCCACGAAACATCCTTCTCATTAGCCAACAAGCAAGACTGAACACTCATTATCTTCAGAGGGAATAACCTGTTTGAAGTCATTGGAATAACAGCAATAGCACCTCGTGAAGGATCATATATCTCACAAGTCCTATTTTGAAAAGTAATAGTATACCCTTTTTCTTGCAATTGACCACCACTCAACAAATTACTTTTCAGATCAGGAACATAATAGACATCAGATATGGTTTCAACAAAACCATTTTTAGTTTTTATTTTAATATTGCCTTTTCCCAACACCTTAACAGTAGAACAATCGCCAAAACTTACAGTGGAATTGAAACCTTCATCTAAAGAAGAAAATAAAGATTTTCTTCCACACATGTGGTTGCTGCAGCCAGTATCCACATACCAAATATTTGAATGAGGTGGCTCGGTAACTTGATATGCCATCAACAAGGTATCTTCGGCCTTCTGTTCTGCAAAGTTTGACTTCTCTCCTTTTTCCTTGTTAGGCAACCTAGCATAACACTCAGAACGATAATGGCCAAATTTATGACATCTAAAGCATTCTACCTTAGATTTATCAAATTTCTGATCTCGTTCTTCGTGTCTGCCTTGAAATTCATCCTCCTCTCCTTTGTCATCTCTATGGCCTCGGTCTCCTCTTCCTCTACCGCGACCTCTTCCTCTTCCTCGACCTTGACCTCTACCTCTACCCCTTCCTCTAGAGTTTGAGGAATGAGTAATAGTGGAAGCTTTTAAAGCTTGTGCCTCTGATGTTGAACTGCGGTTCATTTTCTGCTCATGAACTAACAAGGAGCTCTGTAATTCATCAAGTGAGAGTGCATCTATATCTTTCGACTCTTCAATAGAGCAAACAACATAATCAAATTTGGAAGTTAATGAACACAATATTTTTTCAACAATAGTAACATCTTGCATTTTTTCACCATATAAACGCATCTTGTTACTTATCTCCAAAGTCCTGCCACAATAACTAGTGACAGATTCACCATCCTTCATCTGCAGAGTTTCAAAATCTCTTCTCAAGGCTTGAAGCTGGACACGCTTCACTCTGGTAGTGCCTTCATATTTCCTCTTCATGGAATCCCATATATCCTTGGAAGTATCTTTGCAAAGAATAGTTTCCAGGATGGGACGATCAATTGCTTGAAACAAATAGTTCTTTGCCTTCAAGTCCTTCAGCTTCAATGCCTCAATTTCTAATGGTTGTGCATTCGTAGGTGCTGCTACACCCTTCTCTACAACCTGCCAATACTCCTTGGATCTCAAGAAGTTCTCCATTAGCATGCTCCAATGATCATAATGACCATCAAAGCGAGGAATAGATGGCTGCACAAAATTGGAATCTGCAGAAGACATGTTGCTATAGCAAACAAAAACTAATTAGAGGAAAAAATATTACACTCTCAGAACCTGGCTCTGATGCCACTGATAAATATAAAATAATAAAGTAGAGAGAAAAATAGGAGAATGAACTGATAATTTGCATTAACTGAATGGGCCTTTTAAATAGGCAAATTACATGATAAATAAATAATAAAAATAATAACCCCACCTCCTAAAAATTAGCCACGACTCACAAAATGGGATAATGGAATCTGATCCTAAATGCATGGAATGTGGGTAGCAAAAATCACGCAACAAATAATCCATAACGGGAAAATGGGATAGTGGGAATAATGGACAATCAGGTGAATAATTCAAAGAAATTAAAATAAATTAATTTCCAACAAATACTCATACTCGGGAACCAAACCCATACTGCAACTTTGTCGATTTTAGTAGTAGATGATTTAAAGTTTGGTTCCCAAGGTCTCACTGTCAGGTAATGGTCATAAACCATCCAAGGCCCCCCAGTCAACACTTCCATGTAGTCTCTCTTGTTAGTTAGTTTAACAATGAAGAAACCATGCTCGATATCAATTAGTTTTATGACGCCTTTCTTCGCCCACATCTCTTGTAATCTTTTCTCAAGCGCTTTGAAGCCAATAGTTTGGCCAAGCAGCTTAACAATCACTGACCGCTTCCAAGCACGGTGGAACTTCCTTTTCATCTTCTTCGAGAATCTAAAGGTTGGGAAGTTCCTTTTTGGATTCTCAATGACCTGAAAATCCTCTTCATCCTCTTCTATTGAGTCTTTCTCATCTTCTTTTTCCTCTTCAGAATCGGACTCGACCTCCTCAGGCAGCACCTCCCCCTGTGACGTTTCGTTGGAGGTCCCTTTCAACCTCTGTGCAAATGAGGCTCTCTTGTTCCCTGTTTCTCTGAAGTTAGTGCCTAACGGCGGCCACTGTTGAAAATCGTTTCCAACCGTAGTCCCTCCTTTGATCTTCTTTGCACTCCTGCTAATCAAATCATCCTCCTCTCTCAACGGAGAATGCTCGATCGGCTTTGTCGGTGCGCGGGTAGAGAGCACGAGAGCAATGTTAATCGCAAATAATATTGCTTCTAATAAAAAAGTGCCTGGTGAGATGACCCATTAAATGACACATCCTCGTTTCTCCCTAAGCTGTTACTCATATTGCCCGTTCCGCGTCAGAAAGCCAAGGTCCAGAAAATGCGCGGATATTAGTTGATGGGGTCTCCTGTTATACGTTGTACCCAAAAAAAAAAAATAGTTGTAGTACACTTCATATATAGTTATATTTTCTTTTCTATATTTTGCCGGATACATTTTCTTTTTGCATTCACCATTAAATGTATGAACGCATTCATATTAAAATCAATAAGATGTTCTCATGGTTATAGAGGTTTATTTTATCATTTATGAATAGTAGTTTTTATATCATTTTTTGATCATTTAAAAATCGTATTTTTCCCTTCCAAAACTTTTTATTACTTTCTTCCGGGGCCTATTAATCATTGTGACATGATCTACAAAAATATTATATAAATGGGAATTTTTTTTAAAAAGCACTTTTTAAAAAAAAAATTATATTTAGGTCAAAATGCCTTAAGAAAGTATGTGCACGGGTGACGCAAACAGAAAGTACTAATTAGTTTCTTTCTTGGTTGGGCAACATTTTTATCCACTGGGGATAAGGTCACGTATTTTTCAATAAAAGCAGCTTATGTAATCACTCCACCAAATCCTTTATATAAAAGGGAAATAGCCGAATCATTAATACTAAATAACATGGTTAAATTAATTTACTGTTTTTAGAAAATACCCATATTAAATGTTTCGTATTATATCAATGAAGGTTGATTTAGTTAATAAGAAATTGACTCATAACTTATAGTGTTTGATATTGTGGCTTCTCAGTAACACCGACTTAATTATTTCATATAATTAAAGGGCGTAATGGAAATAATGCGGTATGTTGGCAAAAAATTGGGAATAATAAAGTAAATAGATAAGACAATGGTGCAAAATATTTCTTATATTTAGGATAAATAACGCTTCTAAAATTTTCTTGAGTGAGCCTAGTAATAATATTGTGCACTATAATTGTTAGGGAAAAAAAATATACTGTGCACTATACTCCCTCTTATTCTTACCATGAGAGATAGGTAACCAATTTATGAATATTAAAATATTAATTAAGTTAATTATTTATGATAAATATGTGTTAATTTTTTTATAATATCCTTTCAAACCATGTGCATTGTAAAAATTTCTTTATAAAAATTTTCTTACTATATACATTTAATAAAGATAATTTAGTAAAAATTATAAATATTTTAAATAAAGTAGATCGAGATTTTATATTTAGAATTAACATAAGAGATAATAGTCAATGTATCATAGTTGGGGTTTGGATTGGTTTGGTAATTCTCATTATTTGAGAATCTACTTTTGCTTAATTGCTTAATTATCGGCAAGTATGCAGCTCAACCAGGGAAGTCAAATTCTGTTGCATTTTTTAATCCAAAGAAAGTTCAAGCAGCTTTTGACTTTGTTTCAATTTTTCACGTACTTCCTCCGGTCCTAATTATAACACCCAGTTGGCTAATTTGAGGAGATTAAGAAAAGAAGTTAAGTTAGTTATTTGTAATAAATATGTGTTGTCTTTCCTAAAATATCCTTACTAATCAACTATATTGGCTAGAACTAGAATTATTAGAAGAACTACCTTGGAAAAAAATACATAAATATGAGAGACAAAATGGATTGGAGTCTTATATTTAAAACCAAAATAAAAATCAAATAGAGTCTTATATTAAGAACCTAGTACGATGGAATGCCAAAGTCTAAACTATAGTAGTGTGTGTGTAATGACAATGGATTATCTCTCATGTATGTCAAGTCAGAACTCTCTATCGGTCATTTATTTTATCAACAACCCATGTCAAACTTCCATGTGACTGCCCATTGTTTAGGTGCCTAATTTGTTGATGGGTTGCATAATTTCAGGATTTAGGCAAAACTATTTGAAAAATTTATTGTGCCAAAGTAATCATCATCAATCCTTGTATCGTTTTTCTAACCTTTTGGACTACCGAAATCGTCCATCAAGGTTTTATAATCAATAAATTCTAATACTTCACTTTCATAGATAAAACGTTGAGTTAGAGCTTTTATAATATAGTTGGTCTCATACAGAAATTAAACAATTTTGGTGTCATAATTGAGATTTCAATAGCCATTTAACTTCTCAAATTAACAATGAGGCCTCTAAGATAATCTATAGCAATAACTTGCTGCATATTTTTAGGCTATAAAGATTATAGAATCTTATAATTAATCCTCACAGCCAGTTAAGGAAGAATATTTAAAAACCAAAGGTTTTTACCAGGAACTCTTCATAATGCCTAGTCATTGGTGAGTGTAAAATATTATTAATACATATTGATTTAGATAATAAGCTATTCATTGGTTTTGTCATTTGAAGGTGAGACTGAATGGAACCCTGATTTACTCCGTTGGCTTATAACTTGATCTCATAGTTGATCCTAAGCAAGTTGAACAAACCAATTGCCATAATGAACTGGAAAGCTTGTGCATTACGAAGAGAATTAATCTTGAGATAAAGAAGTTTTCAAATTCATTCATAACTGCACCACAAATTTTTGACATGAAACATAACCCAATGAACAAGCTATCATTTAGAAATGCCCTTGTAGTTATCAGTGCCTTCATCACTTGACCGGACAAATCTACCCCAAAAGGGATGATCCTCCCAAATTCTGGACATTTCTTCTATCGGAATACCCTTAGTCTCTGGCACCAACTTGTACACGAAAGTCGTCATGATCACGACGAAACAACCGAAGAATATGAACAGCCCGAATTTCAGGTGACACAACATTAATGTGAATAACTGAGCAATTAGGAAGGTGCTGATCATGTTCACAGCAACTGTGAGACTCTGAGCAGCAGGCCTTACTTCAAGAGAAAAAACTTCACTGGGCACCAACCATCCTAGAGGACCCCAAGACCAGGCAAAACCAGCCACATAAACACAAATTACAGCGACAACCACAAATGAATACCACTGAGGCAACTTTCCAGGGTTCCCAGTTGTGCCAAATTCAACACCAATAGCAATTGCCATGATAATCTGTGACCAAAACATAGATGATATATATGCTTATAAGCATCTAACTGAAATAACCAGTGAGATATGGAATAAGATTTAAGAAGGAGACAAGGTGGAAAAGTTTTGTTTGATTTACCTGACAAACTAACATTTGAAGACCACCTTCAAGGAAGAGAGTTCTTCTTCCAAATTTATCTACGACAAGAATTGAAATCAATGTTGAGACAGGTTTAACACTGCCTATGATCACAGCAGACATGAGTGAAGCAGTGCTTCCAAAGCCAATTGATCTGAACAAGATGGGAGCATAGAATGTGATCACGTTCAGGCCAGTGAATTGCTGGAAGAAGGGAATTAATATTGCCATCACAAGCTGAGGCCTATACTTCCTCTTCCTCAAGGTTGCCCAAGGGTGTTTCACCTGCTTTGAGGCCTCTCTAGCAGCAACTAGATCATTAAACTCTGCATCAATGTTAGGTGTACCACGGAGTTTTATGAGCTGTTGTTTGGCTTCTTCAAGACGGTCACGTTCAACAAGAGAGCTTGGTGAATCGGGAAGGAAAAGGGACCCCACAAGGAAAATAATAGCAGGGACTGCTCCTAGCCCTAAGCTCAAACGCCATCCTTGACCATTCAATATTTTGGCAAAGTAGTAGTTCACAAGGTTGGCACCAAAGATGCCGATAGTTATAGATAATTGGAAACACATGTTTAAAGCTCCTCGGTACTTGTAAGGAGCCATCTCAGAGACGTAGATGGGCACAGACTGAAAATAAAACAGAATGTAAATTAAGAATCAAATAACAATAATCAAGCCGTTCAGGTAGCACCATATTGCAGCAGAATCAGACCCAGAAGCTAAGTCAGATTATTACCTGATTGGCACATCCAATACCAAAACCAAGTAACATCCGACCGACAATAAGCATCCACATGCGGATGGCTAATCCATTGAGCAATGCGCCTGTGACAAAGAAGACGCCGCCAATCATCATAGTCGCACGCCTTCCTAGCTTTCGTGTGATCGTGGATGCACCAAGACCGGAAATTAGAGCAGTCAGATACAAAGAAGACGTGAACAGCGTCAGGATCTGACTATTGAATTTACAGTATTGATTCGACGAAGCTTTCATGTTAGACTCTCGTTCGTATACAGATGGAAAGAATTTCTCAAGGAAGGAATCCATAGACGTAACTCCACCTACAAGAAAAAATAAAACGACCCCACATCAGAAATTTCATCCCTCCGGCGACACACCAAAATTCAGATAACTACACATCTTCTACAGCAGAAATTAATTAAAGAAGGGGAAATTGTGTTCATTTAGACATTTCATCAAACAGAGGATACATTAAAACAGAGATGCGAAATTCATTGACTGGATAAACACAAGGAATGAGCATCCAAGTGTAGTGAGTAAAATGAAAGTGGTAAACAGTAAAAAGGGGTTGAATCATTTACCAGAAACCCCATGATCATAACCAAAGATTAAACCACCCGTGGCTGCAAGGACGCAAGTGAGGACGACCCTTGGGGTGAGTTCGCCTGGATATTTCATTGCAGTGTCCATAGCTTCGCCTTTCATGATTGAGTTACCACAGTGATACAACTCTAAATTCTTCCTTTGTTTTTGTTGATGCAGAGATACAAAGCGCTAAAACCTACTGGAGAAGAGAAAGGGACATTTTTTATATAGAAACGTCCATGTGGAACAAACAACACAAAAATAGAAGGAAGGATTGGGGATCAGGATGGCACATCATTTCGGTTTCAAACTTTTTCAAATATAGAGAAAAGTTCGACTTCTCAATTCTTAAATTAGGGATTTCATATTCGTATTTTTAGCATCAATTCAGCTCTCTTTCCAACTTCGTCAAACTCCCAACCTCCCCATTGTCTCTGTAAATCAAAATACTGACTCGGAGATAATTATCGGAAAAATTACAGCACACACATATGGCAATATATATATATATATATATTCCTTTTTCCCGTACAAGGCAATGGAAATATATATACATAGTTATGGCCAAAAAAAAAGGTCTGTAACAAAGGGAATTTAAACGATTTGATCATATCTATATCTATAATCTATATCTATAATTTTATATATAGTTATGATATGATAACACTGCTGTTATTTAACTCCCTGATAACAATTCATAGTAAAAGAAGCTAGTTCTCCATAATGTGGTGAATCAAAATTTAAATTTCTATCAAAAGAAGTGCATACATTCAGTGATAAATAGTGTCTAGGACAGGATTGTCTTTAATAAGAATAAAAAAAATTTATAGCTGAAAAGTTATATTACATGCTCCAGTAATTAAATTCAAGGATAAAATTATGTGAATTTTTGTCATACATTGAAGGATGGAAATTTGATGTGCAACCCTTAAAAGTTTCATCCTATGTCCTTGTTTATTATTCACATAAGGAATTAAATAATTGAGAGAATCAATTATTCAGATTCACGTGCTTGTTTAAGAATAAGAAATTAGAAACTTCTTTAAGTTTTTACCTAATGGTGGGTTTGGTTCGTAGAACGGGTAGGAATATAATGAGATTCGAAATGGAATGGAATGTAATATAATAGTGATTATGATGGGTATGTTTAGGATGAGTTTAGATAAATACATTTATATATATAATTAAATATAAATAAATATACAATGATCAAAATAACCATATTAAATAAGAAAATTCCAACCCTTTCATTTTCTTTTTGTAGTCTTCGATGCCTCATGCCTCCAAAAGAGACCGTGGGATGAAGGGGTTTGTTTACAGTAGGGGTGTTCAATTTGTCCCGTCCCGGTTCCGGTGAGTTCGGGACGGGACGGGACGGGACAAAAAAAATTTCGGGACGGGACAAGTACGGGACGGGACGGGACGCGGGACGGGGTTGTCCCGTCCCGTCCCGTCCCGGGATATTTTTTTTAAAAAAAAATTATTTATTAATAATTATTATTAGATTATTCAATTTACTTATTAATAATAATAATTATTTTTATAGTGATTTTAACTCTTAAGTTGTAATATTATCTCAACAATATCTCCTTCCTCAATAAAATAATTCATAAAGCCATTATATAGTGTTTTTTTATCGTATTTTTTTTACAGTATTATTTTTACACCTTTTTTATACTATATAATTGAGTTTTTTACATAATATTTTTTATAATGTTTTTATCTTTAGAAGCCTAACAAAAAATAAGCATTATAACATAAAAAAAATTTCATATAAAAAATTATAATTTTTTTTTTTAAAAAAGGGGGAGGGGAACGGGACGGGACACGGGACTAAAACCCTGTCCCGTCCCTGTTCACTGGGACGGGATCGGGACGGGTCTGTCCCGGTCCCGTCCCGTCCCGTGAGCACCCCTAGTTTACAGGGAAGCGTCGCTAGAAGAGGACGGACGCAAATAGTGGATGGGGTGGTCAAGTGGAGGAAGAAAGAAGACGGGGATAAAATAACTAACCAATTGTTTATTAGTTAAGATGGTAAACGATCTCCTCTATATATACAAAAAAAAAAGAACATAAATTTGAATCTTAAAAAATATATTTGTTAGAAAAACTTTAACTTTAATGCTAATGGTTCGGCATATATTAGCTTTAAGTCCAAAGTAATTTCAGAAGACTTTGAATTTATACCAAAAAAAAAAATATTATTCACTTTGTTTTTTATATATATTTTTTAAAGTGACCTCCACTGTAATTACACATGTTAAATTATTTTTGTTCTAGTACATTTGATTAATAAGGGTATTTTAAGAAAAACAATACCCATTTATTACAAATAATTAACTTAACTAATTTTTTTAATATTTATAAATTAATTACTTAATTCTTTTATTAAGCAGTAGATGCAACGTACTTTGCATGAAGACAACTTGAAAGAGGATAAGCGGTTTGAGTTGTCACGGTGCTGGAATGGTGCTGCCGGGTGGATAACGATGAGCATGAAGATAGAAATAAATCTTACTTTTAAAGCTGCTCATGTAAAAAATTTAATAATATACCCATGTACATTTTAAAACATACTACCTCTAGTTCTAATTATAATACCTTATTTGTAGTGAGGTAATATTTGACGATATTTTGTTATTGCACATGCCTTAGCTTGTCTTATGTATATGAAATTATATGTTTTACTATTTCAACTAATATATTCAACAATTAATATTGGCATAATGATTTATTATAGGAAAATTAAGACAATTAATTATTTGATAATTACCTGATAAATCAGGTAAATTTTAAAATATATGTGATCCTGCAGTTGACAATTAGGAATGATGTACTTTTTTATTTTAATAGGATACATAATTTAAAATAAAAATAATATTATAACTGATATTTGTTATATCAAGTTCTTTATATTTATTATATCAAATTATTTAATTATCCATGGTCATATACTTTAAAAAAAGCATACATAGCCATGTGCAGCCATGCGTTAGTGAAAAACTTGATATAAGTATCATTTTTATTAAATAATTAAAAAAATTATACAATAAAAATTTTAAATATGAACTATTCAAATTAAATTTTAAGTGATTTAGATTTGATATGCTACTAAGCAATTGATTTAAAACTCAGGGATTGTTACATTTTATCCTAATTATATAGATGATTGAAAGGATGCCAAAAATATATATATATATATATATATATCGACCATTGAAGGAGAAGAAAAGGAAAAATTACATTATCTCAAAGGGAAAAAAATAATTATAAAAATCTTAATAACAACATGTAAGTTGTTGTCATTTTCCGTGCTGAAACAGTAAAACTTACTATTACATGTTAGTTTACCATTATTAAAACCTCTTAATAATTACGTTGCTTCTTTAGAATTCAATAACAACTCTCCCGAGGAAAAAGTATGGGTGGTTGGACGTCTTCCATCACTGTGATTCCATGAGTCCGTGAAAATGAAACTTTTATATTAGAAGAAAACAAAGAAAGAGAAAATACTAAAATAGGGACATTAAAATTTTGAGTAATATTTAGAAATATTGTCACATTCACTCAAAAAAGGTCAAAAAAAAGAGAGAGAAGGAAATTTTTTTTTTTAAAAAAAGATTGTATTGATAAGACGTTGCTCCGCAGTCTGCGCCCTAAACCAACCTGTGTTCGGGTATCTGGGGGGTTGATGGGCCCCACTGTGCTATTTCTGAAACGCGATGCGTGCCCGTGAGTGAACCCTATTTCTTGTGAATAATCTCGGAGACGTAACAACAGCGTCTCGGACAAATTACTTTCAATGACAATACACCGGATTTTAATTATAAGAACTAGTTAATTAAATTAAAAAAATTAATAAAATAAATTAAATTAGTTATTTATAATAAATATATATTGTTTTTTTTAAAATATCTTTATTAATTAAGTGTGTTGGCTAGAACTACTATTATTCGAATAACTATCTTGGAAAAAAATATATAAATGTTAGAGATAAAATAGATTGAGATCTTATATTTAGAAGTAAAATAAAAATCAAATGAGATCTTATATTAAGAACTGAAAGTAGTATTAAAAAAAGATATTTTTATATTCAGACAAATTCAAAATTCAGATTTTATGTTATAACTCATTCTACTAAAGACCCGTTTAGAGTAGCTTATAGGCAACTTTTCAATTGTGATTTAAAAAATATAAAAAAAGCATATAATAGAAGTTTTGTTTTGATTTATGTAAAACTCATTGTAAGTGTTTTTGAACATAATCCCAATACCATAAGACTAGTGGTATATTACACTTCTTGTTTTTTTTTTTTTTGGTTTGCCAACATATTACACTTCGTGTTGGGGGAGTGGAAGTGAAAACATATATTGTTGGGTAGCAATTATTATTAGACTAGTGGAAGGAGAAGCGTGTACGGGAAAAGGCAAGCCAATAATGAAATATGATTACAATCACCAGACAAAAATTACTACCTCCGGTCCTAATTATAAGAGCCGGTTGATTAATTTGAGGAGATTAAAGAAGTAAGTTGAGTTAGTTATTTGTCCTAAATAGGTTTTGTCTTTCCTAAAATATCCTTACTAATCAAGTATATTGAGCAGAACTCTTATTATTGGAAGAGCTACTTTAGAAAAAAATATATAAATATGATAAACAAAATAGATTTGGGTCTTATATTTAGAACCAAAATAAAAGTCAAACAGGAATTTATATTAAGAACCGGACGGAGGTAGCATATCAATCCATGATGAGGAGCCAATTAAGATTGACTGCGTTATCGCACATCCATTTCAAAATGACTAAAGCCCTTTGAAAAGTTTACAGTGTGAGAGATTAGCCATTGTTACGGGTGACAGAACTTTTAAACTCAACCTAACAGAGAAAGAGACAAGGTTCCAATATGAGGCTTAATATAAGATTGCCTAATTATTTATACACTGTGTCTTTGGTTGTTAATATAAAAGTTCGACTAGAGATTTATTTCGATTTTAAATAATATAATAATTCAGTCTATTTTATCTTCTAAATTTATAATTTTTTTAAAGAATATTAATTAGATCTAATTCACTCTACTTATTGCTCGATTAGGTTATAAGTCAATAAAATATGTAAAGTAACTTTAAGGTATAAACCTATATAATAAATTATTTGCACAAAATTGGAAGGGGGTGAGGAAAGAGTTTAAAACTTCTCTCCCCTAATACTTGTCTCTTGTCTTCTCCAACTTCTTTGATTATGATGGTGTGGATAA